CTCTCAGGCCCCCCCTCCCACTCCATCCTCCCTGAAGAACCCAGGCAGCCGAATTCCCAGCACCTCCTGCTCCCATCCCCCAGAGAACCCCGGGCTCCAGCCTCCCAGCCCCCACACCTCCTCATTCCCCCCTCCAGGGAACCCAGGGTTCAGGCTCCATCAGCACCTTCCCCACCAAAAATCCCCAGGTGTCTGGGCTTCCCAGCCCTCAGGAAACTCAAGCATCTCCCCCGCCCAAGCCTACAGCCCTACTCCCACAGAACCCAAACATCCAGGCTCCCAGCTCCCTCCTGCTCTCACCCCCCAACCCCCACTCCCTGCCCACAGCACCCAGGCGTCCTGGCTCCCAGCCCATCCCCCCGCAGGGAACCCAGGCATCTGGACTTACCTGGCGACGATAGGCCTCCTGCAGCGGGGGCTGGGCCAGGTCACGGCGTAACTCTTCAGGACTCGAGGTCTGGACACCGGTGGCACGGGCAGCACGGGACACAGCCTCGGCCAGCAGCAGCTGCGGCCCATCACCCTGCATGGTCTGACACACAACACACGCTGACATTCATGGGCACAAGGTCTGTGCTGCCGCCACCACGCCCCTCACAACACAACTGTAGGCATGGGAAACATGCATGAAAACAGACATGCGGACACAGACTCATAAAGGAATAGACATGGGGAGACAGACGCACACAAGGACTGGGACACAGACATGGACACAGGGACATAGAGAAACAGACACGTGGGGACAGACGTGGACATGGAGAGACGCATGAAAACACACAAGGACAAGGAGACACAGACAGACACAAGGACATGGGGAGATAGACGTGAGGACAGAGGAATGCAGACACACTTGGGGGCTATACCAGACATTGCTGGGGGAGGCATATGGGGTCTGGGAGGGCAGGAGGGATATTGGGGGTCCTGGTGAGGCATAGTTGTTGGGGGTGGGGATCTAACCTTGGAGGGTTTGGCTGACATGCTGGTCAGACAGGTGTCACTAAGGTGAGCTATGGGGTGGGGGGGGGTCCCCAGGGGGCTCTCACCTTGCGGCGCTTGGCGGGCATGCCGGTAAGGTAGGCATCGCTGAGCGGTGGCTGCTGCTTCCCCTTGCGCTGGGCCTGGATGTCTTGGCGGATGATGGGCACCCACTCCTGGGGGCAGATGGAGGGGGGTCAGAGGCTGGTGGGTGCCCCTCCCCTCCCCTGCAGCTTGGTGGTGTCCCGAGGGGCGAGCAGGGTGGGATTTACTCACCGGGGGTACATGCTGTCGTGGCTGGGGCTGGGGAGCCCGCACTGTCCCGCTGCAACAGGAGGGGGAAGGGGGGAGGTGAGACATCACCAGGGCCCCCCAGACCTCTGCCATCTCATAATGCCCTCCCCAGCCCCTCTGCTATCCCCCAATGCCTCTCCCCAGCCCCCACAGCCCTCCACTATCCCAGAAGGTCTCACCTATGTTGCCCAACATCCCACAAGGCCTCCCAACCCCTCCACCACTATCCCAGTGCCCCTCTCCAGCCCCTTCCAATCCCTCTGCTATCCCAGTGCCCCTCCCACTCTCTCTGCTATCCCACAATGCTGCCTCAGGAATCCCCAGCCCTCCACTACTCCATGATACCCCTATTCCCTGCTCCCCATCCCTCTGCTATCCCATAATATCCTCCCTGGTCCCTCCCCAATCCCACAATGCCCCTCCCATCCCTCTGCTCTCTCACAGTGCCTCTACCACCCTCCCAGTCTGCCCCTCCACTACCCCACAATGCCCCAGGCCCTCTGCTATCCCACAATGCTCCTACCCTCCCCCGATCCCTCCACTATCCCACAATGCTTCTACCCTCCCCCTGATCCCTCCACTATCCCACAATGCCCCACTCCTGAGCCCCACCACCCCTCTGCTATTCCACAATGCTCACTACCTGGGCGGCCTCAGGTGGCTGCTCAGCCTCCAGCTCCATGGGCTCCTCAGGTGCTGGCTGTACACAAGGAAGGCGGGGAGGGTCAGTGGGGGTCACCCTGCCCTGCCCCCTGGGACCCCCCCACCCCACCCCCTAGGCCCCTCCACATGTCCCAGCCTCCTGGGCCCCTGCCCCCTCAGCT